AAGAGAAGCCTGAAAAAGTTAATCTTTGCAGTTAGATTAGACTTCATGGTTAGTTAGAGATTGGTGGAATCCTCTTTCTCTGTTTTCATGGGTTGCCATTAGATGTTCTAGGCTCCTTCAATATGCAGTGACACCACATTCCTTTAATGACAAAAAAAAATCATAGGCAATTACACTGCACACAGGATGTAATTCCTTATAAATCTTTCACTAAGAAGGCAAACCTAATGAAATTGTACACGCAATGATGCTTTTACTTGAAACATGTTGGGTCATGTGCTGTCTTCCACAGCACACAGGGAAAGCAAAACATTCAGGAAAGCAAAATGTGCCAGAGGAAGAGGAGTGTAAAAGCAGTCATTTCCCTCAAACACTCCTTCCTGATCAAGCACCACAGCCTTCCGGGGGTGGATAGGGGAGAAGAGGAAAACCTTGGGGTGTCTAAAACATCATTCTCTTAAGACTGAAGGCAGATTTCTAACTGCAACCCAACAACAAATCTCATTCACAGTCAGTCACGAGGGACTAGAACATGCTCCCTAAGGGAAAAAGAAGTCCCTGGGTAGACAGAAGAGGCTCCTGCTTCCTTGCCAAGGTCCTACCATCTGTACAGTATACTTGTTTCACAGTGTGAAGGAGCACTTAGCCCTTCTCCTGCCTCTGACAGGAAATATTTTAGGTTAAAACTTACAGGATTTCTTTGTTTCAGAAAATGTGACATGAAGTTTTGAAGCTTTTGATGGCAACATGCAATTTTTTCCCACTAATCTGAACCAATTTTGAACAAGAGGTTTCTCAAGAACAAATACAGTTCTGCTGATGTCTGCCATCACTTCTTCTAAAGTTCACAATTTTACTCTAAACAGCTCAGCAAAAAACCCAGGAAGAAATGCTTGTGGGAAACACTGTGCAACCTGGTCCCTTGACTTTCCATGGATTTAGTCAGTGTTACATGCTAGAGCTACAGCACTGCACACAGCACTTTTCTTGCCAGTGAAGCTGCCTGTGAGATGAGATAAAACTGAGGACCTGATCACTTTGTGAGCAGTATGGATCCCCCAGGGCTTTTTGCAATAATGAAGTTGTTGGCTCTAAAGCCTGTGCCCTATCAGCTACAGGAGAGTGTGAAAGAGAAAACCCAAACCTCCTAGAGCAACGTTCTTCAATATTGATGCAACATTTGCAAGACCCTTAAATAATATGTTGTGAAGGGCAACCAAGAATCTTACATGAATTAGACTGTCATTTCAGCTCAGATAATTAGTTTCTATTTACCCAGTTTCCAAAATTCCCTGGAAATCCTCTTGCAACCTGCCAGGTGGTTATTCAAGTTAGAATTTCTAGAAAATAAGAGAGAAGAATGGTTCGGAGTGTTTCTCCCACAGAACTGTTGTGTTTGTTGTCCTAAAGGCAGACACGAATCTGAAGCCTCTTCACTGCAGAGCCTGTAATCTAGAAAGAACTAAAGCATGATTAGAGAAGATGAAACAATGAATACATTCATTAAATATATTAGCACTTAAAATATTAAATGAAACAACAATTATTTCCAACTGCTTTCAACTTTGTTCTTGATAATTACATGCAATTATAAGCATCTATGTACACTTAAGGAAAATTGTATACTGCAAAGTGACATTACAATGACATAATTTAATTTAATAATTTAATTACAGAGGGACTCAAGGCTCAGAGTGAAATTACACTAAAACCTAGACCAACCCACTTATGAATCTCAGCCTAAAGAGCTTTAAACGGAAATCTAGAGGACAGAAAATCTACCTTTACTTTTCTGTTTCCTTCTCTTAGATTGTTTCATTATAGCAGCACATGAGATTTATGAACAGTTTAAAAATGCAGGAGAAACAATCTGAAAAGACAGACAAAGCCTGCTTTCTTAATTGATGTAATCTAATAAAATGAGGCAGAATTATAGTCACTATTCTTAGGAATGCTTTGGGGCAATTTTTTTTCAGCAGGAGCAGTTCATAAATACAGGCTCTTCTACAAATCGCACTGTCTCTAGGTAAACAGAGACATCCTGGGTGCATATGTTTGTTCAAGGATTGCCTGAACCCATCAGATTAGGACTTTCAGCAGCAGTAACTTGCCTTACTGGTCAAAGGGGAGCTGTCTCAGTTAAACTTAGTCCTTTATGGGTACAACAGCTGTTGTCTGGACCAACTCTGAGCAAGGAACAATTTCCAGAGCTAAACCCTCAGATCTTCATAGCTTGAGGACAGAACTAATTGTAATGATATCATGTGCTGATGAATGGATGTGAAATGAGATGCAGAAGTTGACTAGAGACTCTGCTAAAAATATAACCAGCATTTTTATAACTATGTCAACCAACAGGTTTTCTGAAAAACAGAAGAAAGCTACTACACAACACAAACACACAGTCTTCCTCATTCATCATCTTGTATTTTTGCATCAGATAATCCTTAAGGTTAACTCTAAATGTAGATTAATTGAGCCAGGCAGATATTGCAGAGGAGAGTTTCAGCAATCATTCTGTAAAACACAGTGCTTTTACCAAGACATAGGTGTAGTTTCCAAAGATACTTTTCCTATGACATCCATAGTGCCATGATCAGTAGCCCTGGCCAAAAGCTCCCATTTTCTTCCACTTGCTGCAGAGCTTTCTGAATTGCTTGTGTTTCCAACACATCCTGGTGTCTTCATTCTGTTAAACAAGTTCTACACTTTTTACTCCAGCTTTTGTAGGGTAATTATGAAGAGCCTTCATCCAGTAGTCATCTGACCTCCAGCATGGCAGCCTTACTTAGGTTTCTACCTCACTAGACAAAAAAAAAGGACTGGTGTTGCAAAAAAACATTAAAAAATTGGTTGTGTAAAGAGGTACAGCATAGTAAATTGGAGAAAAACAAGTTTTAAACAGTTTTTAGAGGCATAGTATTATTTGTAGAAGAAAAGAACTAGCACTGATTTTGAGAGTTTGTTCTCTCAGATCTCCACACCAATAGCTGGTTGAGGCAACTGTGGTAAATCTGCTTCACCTCTTGGTCAGAAAGACAATAAAAGATAAATGTAGAAGATGAGTACCAGTACTCCCAGCTGTCAGTCCAGTGTTTCATTTTCATACCATAAAAACTCTGACAGCCCTGTTTGGAAAACTGTGTCTTCATTTGTAGTTCCTAAATAAAGATTGATTTCTTCACCCTCATGACTTAAACTAGTGCTTACCCTAAGGACTTTATCCACTTTACATTTAATCTAGGAAATATACTATCTGAAATTAAACATTTTAGTGCTTCTTTATTTGGGAAATACAATATGAGGATTTATCAGACCTCGTATCTCTATTCTGAAATTCAGAATGACTTCTAAAAAAGAATTATTTAAGAAAAATAACAAAGTTTCATTATTTGGTGTGCTGGTACTAAGTTATTCTTGCTCCTCTGTGGCATGTTAGAAGATAAGAAGGAAGAAACCTGATGGATTTCCTCAAGAGATTGAATTTGATCCTATACCTCTGTTCAGATGCTATTGACTGATGCTTCGTGGCCATCTGTGGCAATCTCTTTAACTCCATCCAAATACACTTTTGTTCCCAATGGCATTGCAAGCAACAAACCAATAGAGCCATAAAAAATAATTGTGGCTTCTATGTTGGTGCTCATCAAAAACATTCTGAACAGCAGTTAGAGTTCTGTAATGATAAATCTCATTACTGTTAAAAGAAATAGCAGTATTGGTTTTGAAGTATTATGCCTTGAACATCACTGATATTCTAGGCAGACAGAAGATAATGCCACTCATTCTGAAAATTTCCAAATAAAGTTAGAAATGCTGGTATACAAGACACAAGAGAAATGGAATCTATGTAAACTCCCAATACTGGAAACGTGTCCCTTTTAAAAAACCCAAACTAACTACATACTCAGGTCTACATTTTGAAGGTCAAAACCTAAACCTCGAATAGCTAACTACCACTGATCTGACTCTTGAGAGCTGCAAGATCCAGCTTGTATTTGATGATTTGCAATAGGAAAAGGGGTAAAAATTTTACACTAAAAGAGGATAGGTTCAGACTGGGTATAAGGAAGACATTTTTTTACAGTAACAGTGGTAAGGCACTGGCACAGGTTGTCCAGAGATGCTGAGGTCCTTCATTCCTGGAAACATTCAAGGTCAATAGCTCTGAACAACCCGATCAAGTTGATGACTTCCCTGCTCATTGCAAGGGATTTGCGAGGAGCAAAGGACAACCATTAAAAGTCCCCTCCAAACCAAATCAAACTGTTATTCCATGATTTGAGTTCTCCTTGATTTTTAACATGTTATTTCCCTCGATTTAAGTTGTTGTACTGTGTTGCACCGCTTTTGGACTTTGCTGTCCCTGTGAGGTTGTGCTTGGGAAGGCGGCCAGCGAGCGTCCAGTGCGCTACTGCATCCCACCAGCTCCTCAGCCCCCAGTGACCCCAGCCACAGGTACCCAGCGCTCCCTTCCACGGTGACCTCAGCCCCAGCACGGTGGGACAAAGGCGGCCGTCTCTCCAGGGGCCAAAGCCCGTCACCATCCTCCGGGATGGAGAAGCACCGCCCGTAAGGGGCTCACAAGCATCTCTCCGGTGTCCCCCGGGGGAAAGCGGATATATTTTGGCCCAAGCAGCGGGGGCGGCCGGCGGGAAGCTCCTCCCTGGGGGTGTAGCACAGGAAGGGGTGGCGGTCGGGGGAGCCGGGGAGCTCCCGGTGAGCCGGCGGAGTCAGCGCTGCCCGCTGTACTATGCGTGTGTCTTGTGTTCCAGCCATGCTGCACATCGGCGGCCAGAGCGAGGGGCGCGGGGAGGAAAAGGCTGTTTACACAGACTGCAAACCGCCCGGGGAATAGTGCGGGAGAGGAAGTGAGCCGGGCCGCTGTCTGACTGCCCCGGCTTCCTGCTCGCTCCCTCTCACGGGCAGGCGCTCACACACACACACACACACACACACACACACACACACACACATACACACACCGGCCCGAGGGGAAAAAAAAAAAAAAAAAAGGAAAAAGGGAAAACAAAATCAGGATCTCATTACTAGAGCAACAGAGAGCCTGCAGAGGACTGTCAGCATGGAGAACCAGGGAATTTTACTCAGCTCCCTCTAGACTACGAGGAGAGAGAGGAAAAGTCCCTCAGCCGCTGGGTAGGTACAAGTGCTGCTGCGCCCGCCCCGGCTCCCGCGAACTTTCGGGGGGCTGCGGGCAGAGAAGGGGAGGCCGGCGGCTGCTGCGGGGCCGCGCTCCGCTCGCTGCTGGGCTGGCAGCGGGGACAGCTGGCGGGAGGGAGGT